TTATAGGAAGAATGCATTTGATGCAGGAGAAGATGGCCTTGGAAAGAATGCTCATTCACTGAAGAGGGTCAGTTACTATTCTATGTTCTAAACATTGCAGATCTGAATTCTTTTCACTTTAATTGCTAATGTCGAACAAAATAATTGCTGCAGGGATGTGATTGTTTAGGGTACATAAAGTACTTTGATGCCCATTTCACAAACTTTACGGGAGGAGTTGAAACGACTGAAAATTGTGTATGCTTGCATGAAGAAGATCACGGAATGCTTTGGAAGCATCAAGATTGGAGAACTGGCCTTGCTGAAGTTAGACGGTCTAGGCGACTAACGGTGTCTTTTGTTTGTACAGTGGCCAATTATGAATATGCATTCTACTGGCACTTCTACCAAGTAAGTTAATGTGTTTTACATGGATTATATAAACTAGGTATTAGCTCTCCCAACACGACTGGTGATAATGAAACATAATTACAAGTTTGCATTTGGAATTTCTTCAGGGAAACGAAGAGTTTGCTGATCATAATTGTCTTTGATTCAGTTACCATTTTACAACTGTTTGTACGCTATATGCAATTGCAGGATGGAAAAATTGAAGCGGAAGTCAAACTCACTGGAATACTTAGTTTGGGAGCATTGCAACCTGGAGAATATCGCAAATATGGTACCACAATTTTACCAGGGTTGTATGCACCAGTTCATCAACACTTCTTTGTTGCGCGAATGAATATGGCAGTTGATTGTAAGCCAGGAGAAGCACACAATCAGGTAACTACTATGACTATTTATAGTAAACTTCAGTTTTCATAATAGTAACTGGTATAGATCAGGTTCCTTCTAATCTGGTATGATTAATTTTTTGCGTTATACAAATATTTTTTTCCAGGTTGTTGAAGTAAATGTCAAAGTTGAAGAACCTGGCAAGGAAAATGTTCACAATAATGCATTCTATGCTGAAGAAACATTGCTTAGGTCTGAATTGCAAGCAATGCGTGACTGTGATCCATTCTCTGCTCGTCATTGGATTGTAAGAATCCACACCTGACTGTATTTACCTTTAATTGCTTTTATCTCACTATGATAACTAGAAAGGAGGATAGACCTCTTGTTTCTCTGTAAAGCATTTTATATAACAAGTTTTTTTACTGAACTGTATGTTCTGGAACTGAAACTGGGCACCTTTCTTATGTCGTCCAATTTTTGACTAATTTGATCCTAAAGACCCTTTTGATGCTTGGTTGTGGTTTTGATCTTAAGACCAGTGCATGCTACATAAATTTGACAATGAACTATCTGACTTTGTAGGTTAGGAACACAAGAACTGTAAATAGAACAGGACAGCTAACAGGGTACAAGCTGGTACCTGGTCCAAACTGTTTGCCATTGGCTGGTCCTGAGGCGAAATTTTTGAGAAGAGCTGCATTTCTGAAGCACAATCTATGGGTTACACAATATGCACCTGGAGAAGAATTTCCAGGAGGAGAGTTCCCTAATCAAAATCCCCGTGTTGGCGAGGGATTAGCTTCATGGGTCAAGCAAGACCGGCCTCTAGAAGAAAGTGATATTGTTCTCTGGTTAGTTCTCTAGACAACAATCAAAACTATCTTACTGCAGTGGATATTTGAGATTTAAAATAGTCTGCAAAATGTCAAATGGTCGAAACTTTCTAGACGTGGAACCTTCTAAAGTACTTGAACAAATTTATATCAAATTCACGCATGACTAGTTAAATATTCTGTAAACTTTTCTTTTTCTTTCTTTGGTGGATATTGAAAAGTATGCTTTGAAGTTTTGACAACACCGTTTATTGTAGGTATATTTTTGGAATCACACATGTTCCTCGGTTGGAAGACTGGCCTGTTATGCCAGTGGAACACATTGGTTTTGTGCTACAGGTAGTTGAGAATGCTATGTTAGCTTTTACTGTTTATTTCCCATCTTAAACATCTCAGTGATTTAGCTGAGTAGAACTCAATACTGGAAAAGCATATTAGATTAAAGGTAAAGAATTATGCAAGATATTCCGGTACGAGATCTTAAAAGAAAAAGCAATTCGAAAGAATGCTCATTCACTGAAGAGGCTCTGGGGAAGGGATTCTTAATCAACAAATAGTAAGTATTGCATGAAATGATCTTAGAATTCTCCTTATATATCATACTCTCTAAACCAGGTTATGCGTAGCCTCTTAGTGATAAATACCTCCATTTATTCCCTTCACTTGAATTACATCTCCCACTTTATCCGAGGGTCTATTGGAAACAATCTCTATGCCTTTCCAAGACAGGGGTAAGGCCTGCGTACACACTACCTTCTCCAGACCCCACTTGTGGGAATTCACTGGATTTTTGTTGTTGTTGTTGTTGTTGTACTTGAATTACATCACTTGCGCCAACCTGCATAAGTTGATGGTCCCAATCTAGGGAAGACAATCCAACTCAAATACAATCTATGCAGTGATACTTTAAATCTGAAATTTACATCCTTAACAAGATAAGATGTACCACTTAGTAAGACCAACTTCAGCATCAGTAGTTTTGCTCGAAATAATGAACATGGTATATTATACTAAATGCAGCTTGTGAATTTGTTCTTGTCTTTCCAGTTTGGGTAATGTTTTTTTTTTTTTTTTTTTTT